AGAGAGAGAGAGAGAACATATTGAGAGAGAGAGAATTCTGGTAGTGTGGTTACGAGTCAACTATCAGCCATCCGCAGGAGAAAGATGAAGCTTTCTGCTCTCCCGTAAAGATTTACTGCCTCAGAAACCCAATGCAGGGTCACTATGAGTTGGAACTGACTCCACAGCACACCACCACCATCACCATATGTATGTATGTGTAAATGTATTTGGAGAAAGACAGAGCTTTATAAGTGAAACAAGAAAATTGTGTGCGTTTGGCCTTGAAAGACCAGTTGAAGGCGTTGTTTACCTCTCCAAACATTTGAACGTGTCAGGAGAGTGCATTCATCTTTCTCAGGAATTCCTTTTCTTTTTACATTTCCTGTGTTATTAGTTACTCTCTAGTTGACTCTGACTCCTGGTGACCCCATGTGTGTACACCAGAACTGCTCCATAGGATTTAAGGGCTGTGACCTTTTGGAAACAGACCTTTCTTCCAGTGCAGTTCTCGGGGGGTTCAAGCTAAACTACTAACTTTTTGACTAATAGTAGAATGCTTAACTATTTGTAACAACCGGAAGTTCCATGGTTAAGATCAGAGAGATGAAACATTCTCTGTTTAAAATCTTGAGGTCCTTTTTGTGCTTTATATAAATGGCAGCCTAACTAACATCCTATTATCTTTTTCTAATTTTATAAAATGCCATTGCTTAATTTTCCAGAAACCTTTTTACATTTGTGGTGGTGGCGGTGGTTATGTGCCGTGAAGACTCATAGCAACCCTATGTAGGGTTTCCAAGGCTGTAAATCTTTACAGGAGCAGAAAGCCTCATCTTTCTCCCATGGAACGCTGTTAATTTTGAACTGCTGACTGTGAGATTAGCAACCAGACTTGTAACCACTACCTACCAGAGCTCCATTTTTGGATGCTCATAGAAATTATCGTTTACTTAATATATCAGCAAGCTCATAATGCACTATATGTTGACATACTTAAAATCTTAACTAAAAACTCTCCATAGATTCTTAAGCAATTTGAAGAAAAATGTGAGGTTTCTTTAGATTCAACTGTGTTCTTTAAAATTTTGACCTGTTGAATTTGCCCTTTGCTTTTGAATGGTTGAGCTCTTGGTTGGTTTTCTGGCTTTTTACATTGAGTTAATTAAATACATACTCTTCAAAAAGAAAAGCAAAACGAACATATCTTTTAAATACTTGGTGGATTTTTAAAATTTTTTCCAAAGATTCTATCATCTTTTCAGATTGTCAGCAAATATTTTTGTTTGTATATTTTAAATGTCAAGGTAACAAGTAAGTGGTTTGGATTTGTCTAAGAATTAAAGTTAAATGTCAAAAATATTTTCAAAGAGACATAATGTCTGCCTCAGTGAGTTAGTGTATTCTTGGTGTTTGTGTTTTGTCTATTTTTACCAAGTAAAAGAAACAAAACCCAGGAATTTAAATATATTTCTCAGTTTATTTGCTCTGTGAAGTAAATGTTTCCTACTTTTGGCATTGTGAGCTACTGGGGTTAACATGGAGTCCTGGGGTAGTACTGTGGTCTAAAGGTCGGTTTGAACTACAAGGCCGGAGATTCAAATCCAAAAGTTGCTGTGAGTTAGAACCAACTCGATAACACTTAACAACAACCGGGTTAATGTAAATGTTGCTTCTGTGTTAACTTCTGGAAACTTATCCCCTCTAGCATACCTTGACAATTGTAGTTGAATCCAGGGAGCTCTTAAAAGAGTACAGATGATTTTATTTTTTCCATGATGTCATGAGAGTCTGAGAAGCCCTGAAAGCACTTTAGCTGGAGCTCTTTGTTTATTTATCAGGAAGCCATTGTGCCTGTAATATGCAGGGGGAAACTTACAAGTTCATTATGTCTCCCAAATTGCTACTTAGAGTAAATTACCAGCTCAAGAAGCAATTAAGTAAAAACATTCAGATTTTTAAAAAAATGTTATTACAATTGAAACATAATTCTTTATTTTAATGATTGCCTTAAGTAATACAAACTCTAAAATATTAATGTTGTACTAAAGCTTGTTATTTTTGCCATTTCTTGTAAGAGAGTACATACAGTATCATCTTCAGCAAGGTAATTGAGTCACTTTTGTTTTGAAGAAAATTAATTTAAAATCATATACTAATATATAATAATAATACATACTGGACTTCAAGGTTGGTGTGTGTTTGAGTCCATCAACCACTGTGCTGGAGATTTATAAGGTTTTTTAAGCTCCTGCAAAGATTTAAAGCCTCAGAAACCCTATACAGAGTCGTTTTGAGTTAGAATCCACTCAGTGTACCTTAAAACAAAAAAACATAATAACGTACATTCATGTATTCACCACCAGTTTAAAAAATGAAACATAACCCAGTTATAGCCCCTTGGAAAATCTTTCCCCTCTTCTCTGCCTACCAGAAATAATAATCACAATACTGAATTCATTATTTATTATTTTCCATCCATATCTCTGACTTCTTTATGTATACAAGGAAGTTTCCACACATTCAGAGCATGCATTTGAAAGATAATAGAATTTTCCATGAACTTTTTGTAGCTCCCTTGTATATGAGGGTAACTCAAAAGTATTGCTAATAGGATTCTTGTTCATTCATGCACAGGTTTATTCCAAACAAAACGTGTTTAAACATGTCTCTGCGATTGGTGGATGTCTACAGACAAGTTCTCTCAGTAATACACTGTCTTAGTCTCACTGGTGGTGGTTATGTACCATGGAGTTGGAGCCGACTCATAGTGACCCTGTACAGGGTTTCTGAGGCGGAGTCTCACTTTGTTGTTTGTTGTTAAGTACCGTGGAGTCGGCTCCAACTCATAGTGACCCTGCACAGGGTTTCCGAGGCTGTCAATCTTTACGGGAGCAGAAC